ATTAATTTACTGACAGTAGATCTATAAATTGTTGTTTGAACAATTTACGATGAAGTCTTGCAAAATAATTTGAAATAAAGATTTATGAGTTTATTCTTATGAAAACTTGTTTTTTTTTTATTTTGCTTTGTTTTTAATTTAAAAATGCTTTATGACTCTTTTTGGCAGTCAAATGGTGACAGCAACTTCTTGCTGTCTCTCTTTTGTGAGGGACAGGAAGCCTGACAAAAGGGGAGACTGGGAAGGAGACTAATGCATACACTCAAAGGAACATCATTACACACAAACAACCAAGCTCTGATTACAGATTACAGCTTAGATCAAAACTGGAATCTCGGCAGTAACATACTGCAGCTGTCACCACTTGGCTAGAAATAAATGCTGAACTGCAGAATGTCTGACTTTCTGACCAGAATTTGTTGAAGAACTTAGGTTTCTCTAGATTGCATTTTATGGTATTACAACACAACATCAAGGTTAGTGCTGATGAGGCTGTAGTCTGCCAAATGAACTAATAGCATAATAAACACAACTGTTTTTTTGTAAAATATTTATTCCAATGATGGGGATTCTTGGACTACATTATAATACATGTATACTAATATTTTTGCATGGTGTTGTCATGGAGTGGTCAGTTTGAGGCTTGTTGGGAATCAGTTTGCAGTTCATAGATCTGTAAAGAAATAAAAATTAATAGAACCAATGCTAATTTATGTACATTAAACTCCTAGATAATAATTAAACAATAAAGAAATTCCTAATATTTAATTCAGTACAATTTAGCACTATTTACTTCTAAACTTTTTCATGTTTTAGGTCCGGTTCATACATCGAGCCAGCGTCGCGCCGAAGCAAAATAGTCAATTTGTGTCGACCCAAATACATTTGGTACAGCAATACGATTCATACGTTGAACCAAATGCAGTTTATTGTTATTATTAATTTTTATCGTCGAAAACAGATACTTTTGTGTGTTAAGTTCGGCACGGCGATAGCTCGACGTATGAACCGGGCCTTTGTGGTTTTACATGACACAAAAAGGACAGTGTCTTGATATAAATATTACTTAAGGTCTGTTAGGATGAGGTACGTGGTGTTACATGACACAAAAAGGACAGTGTCTTGATATAAATATTACTTAAGGTCTGTTAGGATGAGGTACGTGGTGTTACATGACACAAAAAGGACAGTGTCTTGATATAAATATTACTTAAGGTCTGTTAGGATGAGGTACGTGGTGTTACATGACACAAAAAGGACAGTGTCTTGATATAAATATTACTTAAGGTCTGTTAGGATGAGGTACGTGGTGTTACATGACACAAAAAGGACAGTGTCTTGATATAAA